GATCGGACTTTTATGGCTGATTATCATTATAAGAAAATATACCGCGCCACTGTCGCCTCTTTTTTTACACCATTTCAGTATTATAAAGGGCAACCAAATAGATGCAAAAAAGAAGCATCCTCGATATCTTAACAGACCACCAAAGAGGCCCAAAAGCAGGTAAACAAATGGATAGCTCTTTATTAGTAAAAGGAATACAGAATAATGTAAACATATGAATAGTTCCTTGATAAAGGAAAGGCCGTAGATAAGCGGAAAAATACACTCCATCAGATTGTGTCACCACCGTTAGATTATATAATAACCACACTAATAGGTCATATCACCACCGACCTACCATAACGCTATATAGCAGAAATAAATTAAAATAGTAGTTAGAAAGCCATAAAGATAACTAAACTATAGGTTATAAAGCCACATGAAGATTATGTCACCACATTAGATTATGATATTAGATTATGATGCTACCACTAGACCGTAACATTAGATCATTTCACCACTATTAGATTATATCATCACTATTAGATTATATCACCATCATTAGATTACATAAACACCGACATAACCATTAGATTATGTCACCACCATTAGATTATATTGACACCGTTAGAATATGTCACCACCGTCATAACCTTCGGCGACTACTTAAAATTAAATCTAATAACTTTTTTGATAATTATTTGTAAATCAATTTTCTAATGATAATATAATATTATTATTATTAAAATTAATATTTATTATTTTATAAAGAATTTAATATTTTTTACAATTTTACAGGTAAATTTGTCTACTAAACAATTAAAGGATAAGTATTAAATTTTTAAAAATTAAAAAGTAATTTAGTGAATAACAAATTATATTTTTAAATAAATTATTTTACTTTTTTTAAATCTTAAATTTTTTTTTAATAGATTATTAAAATTTTTATTATTAAAATAAATTATTTAAAATTATTTTCTAATAGAAAATATTTATTCAGTATAATATAATACACTATATATATATCATGTATAATGTGGCTAATTTTAATAAATCAACTTTAATTTACTTAATTCTAATACCATACTTATACATAAAGTTGAAATGAAAACCCAAAAGTCAAAATGTTTTGACTTTGAAAGTCAAAGTTAAAATAAAAGTCATAATAGTTGAAATGAAGTTATATCATATAATTTTTCACATATAAAAAATCTAAAAAACAAAAAATGTACGATTTTAGTAAAGATTACACTAATTATACTAATACTCATAAAATAACTATTATTTGATTTTTTGCAATTAGACAGATCTAATGAGCTAAATATCATTGATTTTGGATTAACCAATCTCAAGATAATTATAATTGTATTTTTAAAATCTGAAACCTTTTATTTAAAGTAGAATTTATTGAATTATAATTTAGCTAATAATTTAATCATGATTATTTTAATATTAGCTGATTGAAATCAATAATATTTAACTTATTGTATTTATTTAATTATAAGAAATCAAATGGGTTTTTTTTTATTTTCAGATCCAGTACCTGTTGTACCTGTTGATTCAAGTAACACCAGAAAAAGTTTTAACTCATTTAGAATCAATGGATTTTACCTGTAGTTATAGTAGAGAAGAAGAATAGCAAAAAACGCTTATGTGTCAATTACCATAAGCTTAATAATATTACCAAAAAAGCTCATTATCTACTACTATGCATTAATAATATATTGGAAATTTTACAAGGTTTATAGTGGTTTATCTCATTAGATCTTACTAATGGATTCTGGCAAGTTGAATTAAAATCTAAGGATAGAGAAAAGATCACATTAATTACTAGATTTAGAACCTATGAATTTAATGTCATACCCTTCAGTTTTTGTAACGCTCCTACTATATTCCAAAGGTTAATGGATACTGTTTTGCGAGATATATCAACATTGGCTCAAAATTATTTGACGACCATCTTTTACACTTAAAACAAGTATTTCTATGATTATGATAAGCCAGATTAAAATTAAGTTCAGAGAAATATTTCTTCTTTGAATAGAAATTACCTTTTCTTAAGCATGTTATTAGCAGAGAAGGAATTCAAACAGATCCAAATAAAGTAATTACAATTAAAAATTTTCTCATCCTAAGAGATCTGACGTAATTAAGAGGATTCATTACCTTTGCATCCTACTATAGAAGATTTATTAAAGGATTCGCAAATACAGTTAAACCATTAAATAGATTGTTAAAAAAGAATACACCTTATATCTAAACACAACAATAACAAGATGTTTTTGAACAACTTAAAAATTACCTGATCACTTGCATACGGTCCAATCCATTTCACCTTTAATTTTGCTGAAAAGTTATTTTCTAAATGTGTTTGATGCAACAGGATTTTGTTTCCAATCTTGAATTTCTCAGATACGTTTTTCTGTTTTCGCTTTGCTTGTTGTATCTTAATTCGCCGTTGTACCTCATAAGCATTATTATTTTCCATGATTTTCTGAGTTTGTTTAAGCAATGCATCTTTTTCTTCCTTATTATAGGTTACTACTTTTAGGTCAATTGGCAAGATTGCTTGTCTTCCATATAGCAGCTGAAAAGGTGTGAATCCTGTAGATTCATGTTTCTTGGTTCAGTAGGCCAATAGTACTGCTTCAATACATTGATCCCATTCCTTTTCTTCAGAGAGTTTCACCAAACATTTACCTATAGTTCTGTTGAATCTTTCTACCATTCCATTCGTTTAAGGCCTATACGGTGAAGTTAATCGATATTTGGTTTGTCAACCATTGCATAGCTCATTTACCCATTGGTTGTTAAATTCAGTGCTTCTATCCGTCAAGATGATTTCTGGTACTCTATGTCTACAAATTATTTCTTTAAATATGAATTCTGCTACATTAATAGCTTTTGCTTGCTTTAAGGGTTTCGCTTCAGGCCACTTAGTAAGATAATTCATAGCTACTATGAGATATCTATTTCCATTTGTTGTTACTGGCAGAGGTCCTTTTATATCTATACCAATTCGGTTAAAAGGTCCCTTCACCAGTATTGGGTGAGATTCTTCTTCCTTTTGGGCTTTCCTCTTCTTTGGCACGTGTCATAATGTTGAATGTATTTCCTAACACTTTCATATATCTGTAACCAATAGTATCTTTCTTTCAATTTTTCATAGATTGTTTCTATTCCAAGATATGCTCCGGTAAGATCCTTATGCAGATTGAATAATATCAATTCAGTTTGTTCTGATAATATAACTCATTGGGTTGTCCATTTTTGTGTCGTTTAAATAAATATTGTCCTGTCATAAAATACTTGTTGGATTGTTTTCTAATTTGGGATTTCTGTTGTTCATTTGCCTTTTCTGGGTATGTGAGGGTTGTTAAATATTTGAATATATCATCGTATTCTCCTTATTCATTTCTTATAATGATTGGTTGTTAAGGATGTTTATATCAGAATTCTGGATAATGCGTCAGGTATTGAGTTATATTTTCTTTCTTATGAATGATCTCATAGTTGTAATCTTGCAGGATCATTCTCCACCTAAAATATCGTCTATTTGTGCTTTAGTTATTATTTAGTAACCATACGAGTGCACTATGGTCAGTATAGATCTTCAATTTCCTTTCATGTAAATAGTGCCTAAATTTTCCTAAGGCCCAAATTACAGTGAGGGCTTCCAGATTTGTGGTATCATAGTTTTGTTCATATTTATGTAGAGTCCTACTATTATAAGCAATAGGATGCTCTTTCCCTTGTTCATCTTTCTATGATAATACTGCTCCTACTACTACTTTTGATGCATCAGTTGTTAAAATGAACTCTTTATCCAGGTCTGGATATGATAGCACTAGTTCTTTTATCAAATATTCCTTTAATATTTCGAAGAAATTCTGTTGTTGTTCTTCCCATTGGTATTGACCTTCAATTTCCAATAGTTTAAACAATGGCTTTGCAGTTTTTAAGAATTCTTTAATAAATTTTCTATAAAATGCTGTCATCCCAATGAACCTTCTGAGTTTTAATCTTGATCACCTTTTCTAGATCTGGTTTAATCCCATTGATTCCCACAATATGTCCAAGGAATTAGACTTCCCTTGATGCGAAGTGATATTTATCAGGGTTGATTTTTAGTTCTGCATCTCTAAGTCTTAACATTACTTCTTTTATATGTTCCACATGTTTGTCCCATGTTCTTGAGTAAATGGTGATATCATCGATGTAGTCTAGGGCAAACTTCCATAATATATCTCCTAACACATTGTTCATGAGTCTTTGGAATGTAGCTAGGGCATTGCATAATCCAAATGGCATAACATTATATTCGTATAACCCATACTTGGTAATGAATGCTGTTTTCTCCTTATATTCTTTTACAACTTCCACCTGCCAATATCCTGATGCGAGATCTATTGATGTGAACCATTTTGCTCCTTAGATGCTATCAGTAATCTCATAAATAAGTGGTAGAGGATACTTATCCTTTTTCGTTACGTCATTCAGCTTCCTGTAGTCTACACAGAATCTTGTTTTACCATTTTTCTTTTTAACAAGAACTACTGGTGAGGCCCACGGGCTATTAGAAGGTCTAATGAACCCCCTTTCTAATCCATTATCAATCTCTTTCTTAATTATTTCATTTTCTGCTGGTGACATACGGTAAGCTCTTTGACTTATCAGCAGTCCTTCTTCTGTGTAAATTTTGTGTTTGAATGCGTTTGTTCTGCTAATTTCTTCTTCTTTGGCCACTACATCTTCATATGATTGTAGCATTTGTAACAATTGTTCTTTTTGTCTGCCTTTAATTTCTCTAATCACTGTTTTCTTCCTTCATCTATAGAAAGCGTTTGATCACTTTCCTCAATTTGGATTTTTGTGAATCTTTCTTCCTTTCATTCTGTTGTAACAGTTATATCTTCTAAAAGTGTTTCAATGAATTCACCTTCCTGATATACTGCTAGCATTTCCTCAGGTAATTCTGGATCTTCCAGTTCCAATCCAAAATCGGATTCTTCATCAGATTCTTCTTTCAGTTTTGTCCTCTTTTCAAATTTGATCCTTTGCCAGCACGTTATAGGTATCTTCTCATAAATAGGTTGTCTGTTAATAGATTCTCCTACTTGATAAAATAGCCTTTTTTGGTAGAAGTCTATTTTTGCATTTACTTGTATAACCCATTCATTTTCTAGAATCACTGAGTAGGCTTCAGAATTCATAACCGCAGCTTCAATTTTCCAAATTATTGTATTTATTTTGATTGGAAGTTGATAGATGACTCCTAATAGTGTTGTGATTTTTCCGCTTATTCCAATCAGGGTTCTATCGGGTGGTCCATCAATTTCCAATCCAATTTCATCTAAGAAGCTTTTTGATACAGCGTTCCTTATTGCGCCTGTGTCGATCATTACATTTGTTTTTCTTTCAGCTACTTTTGCTTCCATGAACAGTGCGTCCTTGGGTGATTGTTGTTGTGTTGTTGCACTAGGTTCTTCTTCTTCTTGTAGATTATTCTGTGAAATAATTCTTAGACATTTCTTGGTCAATTCTCCAATCGGATCCAATTTGCTTAAGATTTTGTGTACAAATCTCACGTGTGTTGAAGTTATCTGTCCATTTTCTATCAGATTCAGGTATCTTTTTTGATCTATAGACCTCTATGGACTAGCTTTATTTTCTTCCATCCATATCGGTATCTCTTTCTTCTTCAATTTGGTAATATATACATCACAGTTATATACAGGATCATTGAATATTTTCCTAATCCTTTTCAATAGAAGATCTATTCCCGCTTCTTCAGAGGTTTTCCTTAAGCATGCTTCAGCTGATCCCTCAAACGGTTCTACTTTTCCACATACGGTTTGCCAAAGTCCAGCCATTACCTTGGCATTCTCGCTTCTTTTTGATACCCAAATTCTGTCCCGACAGTGATACAGCACATTAAGAATATATTTTGAAGGTTTTTGTTGTTCTGCACTCTCACCTCCTAAAGGTGCAGTTGATCTTTTAAATCTTCATTAAGTAGTTCGAGGTAATTCTTTAACATATTCGCTAACTTTTCTTTATTCTTCTTTGATTTGTCCAAATACGTATACATCCTCGATGGTCCCCTATTGTCAGATTCCTCCTGGTTTACATTCGTCCTATAAGGTTTATTCATCTCAGGTCCTTTTTCTTTATTTTCCAGAAATTTCTTAGGCTTAGAGGATTTTGTGGAAATGTGCCCTTCTTCCCTGCAGTTGTAGTATTTCACAGTCCTTTCAGATCTTTTGCAATCTCTTGTGAGGTGACCAATTTCTTGACAATTGTAACACCGTTTTGCAGGGCAATCTCTTGCTCAATGACCATTTTTCCTACATTTCAGACATGGTCCATTTGGCACGAAATTTGGGGCTCCTTTCTCTTGTTGGAGAACTCTCTTGATTGTTTCTTCAATTGTCTCTTCTCTATTGGAAAATCCTCTTTCCTTCTTTTTCTCAGGATAGTAACTAGATTCGACTTTCTTTCCAGTCACTTCCATTCTTATGCTTTTGGCTATTTCCATTGCTTTAGCCATTTCGATAGCTTGTTCAATTGTTGAGGGCATGCTTCCTTGTACAGCCTCAATATATTCTGGTAGTAGTCCTTTTACAAAATCCATGATTTTGTCTGCCTCAGCTTTTCGTTTGAGAGGATCCACTCTTCTCTATAGCTCCCTTAACTTGACTGTGTATTGTGTGATTGTTTTATTCTTTTGTTGTTTTAGGTTTCTTAACTCTTTATCCCACTGAGTCCTTCGGTATATGCTGCAATACTCACTCATAAAGAGACTCACAAAGGATTTGTTTCCTTTATCCAATCGATTCCAATACTTCACATTTTGGGAATTGAACCAAGAATGAGCTTTTCCCTTAAGATAAGAGTTTACTATTTTTAGCATTCAGCTTTCTTTCACACTGTTTGCTGTACATGCTCCTTCAAATGCTTCTAGCCATGCAACCGGATCTTGTAATTCTCCCTTAAATGTTGGAAAGTCCACAAGTCTGGTTTCCCTAATCTGAGGTTCGGTTTCTCTTGTACCTTTCATACTTTTGGTAAATTCTTTGAAGAATTGTTTCATGAATCCCTTCATGTCTACCTCCTCTTCTTCATCTTCCACTTCCTCAATTATGCTAGTCTTCTTTGAAGTATATCCATGTTCGCTTCTTTCGGCAATATTTAATTCTTCATGTCAGTCTTGTAACATATTTTCTAGTGGTAGTGGTATGTCGATCAGATTTCTTAATACTTGTTGTGAATCCAATATTCCTCCTACTCCTGATACTTTCTGGTATTCGCCTAGTTCTTCAGGCTCTTTACCTTTTCTGAATCCTCCTGTCCTTTCGAATTCAGCTAGTAATCTTTCATAAAGCCCTTCAAGTTTGGTTTCTTCTGTGTAGATTACACTATATATTACTTCTTTCAGTTGGTTCTTAACTTCTTTTGGGCGACTATTCGTCATAGCTTGTTTCAAAAGCCATACTGCTGCTCTTGTATATCGATTAATGGACACTTGTCCTCTGAGCCAAGTAATTGCTTTTTGGGTTTCGGCAGTTTCCTGATTTTCTTTTATTAGGTAGCATTTCTCACAGCTATAGTCGATATTGTCTCCTTCAAGTGGATGATTTGCTGAATAATGGTTCTCTTGCTTTTTCTCATACTCTCTCCACATTGCTCCAGTTATTTTGGTCATAATGTGTTGAATAGGGCTTTAGGTCTAAATCTAATTGGTATTCCTGGGATTTCAACTACTTCGTTTATATCTGTTCAGTATCCTTGACCTTCGTAGATACTCTTATAAGATTCAAGGGTTTAGTGTAGGAGCTCTTGTTCTTTTTCTGTTTTGTATAAGTGTTGTTCAATTATCCTATGTCGGTAGTATTCTCCACAGATAATTTCGATTAGAACTTTTCTGTTTCTTTTTCAGGAGTGCTTTCTTTGGGAACCTCTTTTTGATTCGCGGTTATTATCATTGGTGTTTTGCTTAAAAAGTATTCCTTTTCCCACTGATGTAATTGTCTTTCAGCTTCTTCTTCTTTTGTGGATTTTTTTCGTTTATTTGACTCCACTTTTTAGATTTCTTTAAAGATTAATTCTTCAACGTCGATGTCTGAATCTATTTCTTTGATAAGCTGCTTTACTTTGTTGATTTCTTCTTGAATTTTCTTTAGGGTTGAGAAATCAATTGATTCTTCTTGACTTCTGTAGTAGCTTTTAATTCTATTTACTTTAAGTTGGACTTGATAAAAATTTGGCTTTTCGTGATCTTCAAAATTTTTCTTTGCTTGATAGATATTTCTTAAAGGTTTTCTTTCTTGCGATTCTTTTTGGCTTAACAATTCTTTCAATTGACTGAAGTTTCTTATGTTCATTCTCTAGAGATGGTGAAACTTAATTATGCTCCATCCAACCCGCACCAAAAACTGTTACCCAACTAATGATTAAGCGGACTGAAACACGTAATAAATTGAGTAGCAGCAAGATTTAGCTCAATTTTTAGTAAGTTTTGGGAGAGACTTCGGTAAATTCGGGTTTCCGTTGACTTTGGTATTCTTTCACAATTAAGTTTCAGAATTGGCAAATATGACGACTTCCAATCCTCCACGTAAGACAAATAATTTCCTCTGATGTAGGAAATTCTCAGTTGACGTTACAAAGTTTATTTGTAACCAAGTTGATAGCGTTTAAGTAATTTAAAGATTACTT